CTGCACAGCCACACCTGGGTCAATGCACTGGGGGGGCCAGGGCAAGCTCATCCCACTTGGGGCATCCCCTAACCTCACTCACGTCCTTCTGCGTCCTCCCTTCCACATCCATGTAACCCATTTCCCACCAACCTCGTGTCTCCCCAACCCACGTCCCCCAATTCCACGTCCCCTCCACGTTCACCCCAATCTGTCCCACCACCTGTGCCCCACCACCCCACATCCCCTCAACTGGTGATCCCCCACACATATCTGCCCCGATCCACGTCCCCCCCTGCGCTCCCCCACCCTACATCATTCCAACCTATGTCTCTCACCCATGTCCCTCTGCGTCCCCCCACCCACATCCCCCACCCCATGTCCCCCACCAGGCGCTGCCGGGGGTCCCGTGCACGGGCGGCGCGGTCGAGCAGTGTGCTGTACTCCAACTCCTCACACAGGCGTTGCAGGGTGTTGAGGGGCTCATTCAGCTGCACCGGCAGAGCCACGCGGGACAGATCCTTGCCCACGCTACTCCGCAGCAGCCCCCACAGGCTCACATCCCCCGGTGGTGCGGGGGGAGCAGGCAGACGGCTCCGACGCTGTGGTCCCGGCCCCGGCAGCTCCAGTGAGGGCAGCTCCACCAGCCCCCCTAGGCTGTCCATTCCTATGGGACGTTGGGATGTGAAGCGGCGTGCCCCTGCCCCAGCACCCTGTCCCCCCACCTAGATGTTCTATACCTGTTTGGGGACGTCCAGGCCCCACCGGCTCGGCCAGATCCTCATCAATACTGTTGGTAGCTTCACTGATGCAGGACTCATCGTCCGACGCCTGGGGACGGGCACAGTCGGGTGGGCTGCAGGGGGGGTGGGGGTCACCCAGCGGGGGGGTTGGTGGGAAGGGCACCCGTGGAGGAGGTTGGTTGTGTGGGACAGGACTGGGGGATCCAACATGGGAACAGTACGGGGATGCAGGGACTGAGGGATGGAGGGAGCTGGGGGGGGGAGCCTGGTTCCACTGCTAGGCTCAGAGAGTGGGGATCCCCCAAACACCCTGTTTGGGGGGACTGTGGGTAGCTGGAAGAGACAAAGGAACAAGAGAGGACATGGAGGCCTGGGCTGGCTAATGGAGAGGAAAGGGGTGAGAGAACAGAGAGATGAACTGACTGGAGCAGCACCAAGCCTGGGGGTCCCATTCGGCTTTGCAGAGCCCTCCCTGCCCACCCCTATCCTAAGATCCCCCACCTCATTCTCAGAGGAGCTGGCAGAGAGGAACACCTCACAGGCATCGAAGAACTCAGTGTGTGAATCGGCCAGCGAGGCGATGCTGCGCTGTGAGCGCTGCTGCTCCCGGCCTTTGGCAGGCAGCATGTCGGGCTGCAGGGACAGCAGGGCTCAGCATCCACTCCATTGCCCCCCCCCCGGTCCCATCCCCTGCCCCCACTTCACCTCATCGGGGAGTAGTGAGGCAAAGGAGTCCATGGTGGTGTCAGAGGAAACGGAGAGCGAATGGAAGCGCTGCAGCCCATCCCGTGGCTCCAGGCCTGGCAGGGGGGCCTGCGGAGGGGCTGAGCTGAGCCAAATCCCCCACAGCATCCTCCCAATTCCATGCAGGGGCTCAGGTGTCCACACAGGGTCACCCAGACCCCCAGCATTTGGACAAAGCCGCGATGACTTGCAGCGCACCCCCAGGACAGGGGCAGCCCCTCCAGACCTGTGCCCCCTGACCCCAGCACGGCCCCCTCAGGCCCACAGCCCCTCTCACCCCAGTGGGACCAGCACTGCCGGGGCGTGGGGCTGAGCGCCGACGGTCCAATGCCCGCTGCATGTCCTCCAGGCGAGCCCTCTCAGCCGTCAGTGCTGTCACCACGCTGCTGAGTGAGCCGTGCACTGCAGGGACAGGGGCGGGCGGTGAGGTTGTGGCATCATTTCCCCTCCCCGCAGTCCCCCCCCGCTGGGGCTGCCCCCCGTGGCCCACCTTTCTGTGCCAGCACCCAGAAGCTGCGCTGCAGCTGGCTGTACTCAGGAGGCAGGCTGAAGGGCAGCTGGCCCTGGCTGGGCTCCAGGTAACGAGAAAGGTTGGGGACGGAGCCGTGCAGCCGCCCCACCTGGAGGGGAAAGGGGGCTCAGCAAGAGATCCAGCCCCGGGTTCAGCACACACACGGCCTGCATCCGCCTCACCCGTCCGATGGTGTCATCCTTGGCAAAGCTCTGAGTGCACCACATCCTGGTGGTCCTCCGACCCTTCTTGGGCCTCTCCGTGGCAGCTGAGGGCTGCGGGAGGGGGATGGGTGGTGAGAGCGGGGCTGGGGGCTGCGAGGATCGGCCCCACACTCTGGCACTCACCTGGGTGCTGGAGATGAGGGGCGCGGAGGGGATGCGGTGCAGGGACTCGAGGCTCTGCAGCATCTCTGTCAGCTCCCGCAGCTGTGCCTGGCACGCTGACAGCTCTGAGTGGGAGCGGAGGTGCTTCGGTCAAGGATGGGGATGGAGACGATGGAGATGGGGATGATGGAAGTGGGGCCCCTCCCTTTCCTGCTCACCAGCTGAGCAGCGCTCCAGCCCCTCACTGTCCTTCAGCCACGCATCCACCTTGTCCCTGGAGCTGGCGAGGGCAGACAGGGCAGGGGCGCTGCCGGAGGGCACGATCCGTGTCCACGGACCCTGAAGATAGAAAGGATGCCATCAGGAGCCCCATTCCCAGACACGGTCCCACATGTCCACCCCAAGATGCCAGCGACCTGTGAGGAGCTGGGGGTCCTCCTGGCAGGAGCGAATGGGTCTGGACTCTCCCCCTGATGATGGGAGCAGAGGCTGCTCACCCAGCTGGCAAAGAGCTCTGCAGATTTGATCTGTGGGACAGACGGTGGGTGTGTGGGAGACCACAGCCCAGTCCCCTCCGAGCCCCAGCTCCATCCCCCACTGGGTGCCCCCAGACCTTGAGGTGGTAGATGTTCTCCTCTGTGTCCAGGTCGACCCGCTGCGCCTTCTTGTTGACAGACATGACAGACTGACGGACATCAATGGCACCGTGCAGCTTGCCCTTGAGGACCTGGGGAGCCCAGGGACCCCCGTCAAGAGGAGACTCCCTTCCTTATGGCAAAATGGGGGTCTCCCCCCAACCAGATCCCATAGGGAGGCTGCACAGGCGCAGCTCAGCCCCATACTCACATCCTGGCGCGTGGTAGCATATTTCAGGATGCCATTTTCCAGCACAAAGTACCTCTGAGGACAGAGAGAGACAGAGGCGAATCCCTACAGCCCCCATTGCAGAGGCCTAAACCTGCTCAGGGCTGGGCACGCTGCCCCCAGCACCCCGTTACCTTGTGCCAGCCCTTCAGGGGCCACTTTCTCTTCTTGAGCAGGTAGCCCTCCTGCCTCTCCGGATCCCGGCCTGGGCTGCCCCGATCTCGGGGCTCCTCCACCACCTCCCAGCTCTCCGAGCCCTATGGAGACAGAGGTCAACGGGAGGGATCCTGCAACAGCCACCGCTTCCAGCCCCCCCCTTGTCCCCCAGGGGTACCAGAGCATCTCTGTATTCCTCTAATCAGAGCAGAGTGAAGCCCCCTGAGACCCCACAACACCCCTGAGGCTGGATGCGGTGAGGATCCCACTGAGGTCCCCGACCTGCTGGATGCTGCTGTGCTTGGAAGACACGGTGCTGTTGGAGCGTGACAGGGCCTTTTTGGGAGAAGATGGATCCTTTTCGTGGCTGCCCATGGCCAGTGGGCACAGGAGGGTCCACGCTGAAGGGTCTGAGCTCAGCTGTCACAGTCCAGGAGGTGGGACCCACTGTGGGGAGGGGGAGCCTCGTCAGGGACCCCTGTGTGGAGGTCCCCAGCTGGGGACCCCCTACCCGCAGCCCTGCTGCCCCCCACCAAGGGCAACGGAGCGGTCGCGGGATGGGGGCAAAGCAGAACCGTCCGCTGCACGCCCACAACCCACACCTCCCCGCTCCGTGGGTGCCCACGCCCGGGCAGAGCGGTGTCCCCGTGCCTCAGTTTCCCCAGGGAGGTTCCTCCCGGAGCCGGAAGCCGTGCCCGGTGCCGCCCCGCCCTGCCCCGCCTTACCTCGCCCGTACGGCGGGTCCAGAGTCCGGTCCGCATCCCACGAGCAGCTCGGTGGGTTCCCCTTCTCGCCCTCCCCACCCCCTCGCCCAGCGCTGCCCCGGGAGCCCCTCCGACAACGGGCAGCGGCAGCCGCGGCCCCGTCCCAGAGCGGAGGGGATGCGAACGGTCCGGGGGTCTCCGCGCCGTGCCGCAGCAGCGGCCCCGACGTCCCTCCGGTAACGGGAAAATCCCCGCGCATCGCTCAGCCCGACCCCACCGCCGTCAGCCCCGGAGCGGGGCAGCGCGCCCGGCCCCGGCGGGCAGCAGACGCCCGTTGAAAGGGGAGCGGGACCGGAGACCCCCCGCCCCCCTCCTCCCCCGGTGGTTCCCGGTTGTTCACCTGTGCGGACGGCGGGCGCAGAGCCAGGGCCGGGGCCGGTCGCATCCCGCCCGGCGGTTGCAGGAAGCGGAACACGGAAGGAGGCGGAGGCACCGGGTCACAGCCGCTCGGTTCTGCCCCCTGCACCGTGGAGGACCGGAGCCGACAGCGCCGAGAACCCCGAGACCCCGCCGCGGTACCGCCGCCCCAACTTCGCCGGCTGCACCGGAGGCTCCGTGCGTTGGGATCGCGTCCGGCCCCGGAGCGCTCAGCCCGCACCCTCCCCCTTCCCCAAACCCTTCCTCGCCCCGGGGAATCGGACGCGTTGAGAGCAACAGAGCCACAACGCGGCCTCCCCCAGGCTGAGCCCCCCTTGCTCTGCCCCACACCCCGCTGCGGTGCCCCACGGAGCAGGGAAACCCACCCGGGGCTTTGGGGTCTCCTTCCCATCCCACCACAGCTCCTGCCCAGCTGAGGCTCTGCTGTGACAATGGAGAGATGGGGGCCAAGGAGAAGGATGCATTTGAACTCATACTTGAGAATGCAGAAGAACCCCCAGCCCACCCTTCCCAGAGATGAACCAGGCCTCCAGGATCGCTACCACCACGCAGCCAACTTTAATGCAACAGCCAGCAGCCCCACGCGCTCAGCTCCATGCCTGCCATACAGGGAGAGCTGCAGCACACTCCTGCACGCCACTGGTGGCTCTGAGCATTGGACGTCTTCCATGCCAGCACAGCCACAGGTCTCTGCCCTCTTCAGTCAGAACCAGAGCTTCCCTGAGCACGTCCCACAGCACCCAAAGCACAGCTGGGCCGACCCCATGTGCCACTGGTGCATGCAGACTGGATGGAGAGCACTGGAGTGGAACGAAGGGACGAGCTGGGCCAGACTCAGACCCACTGCTGGTTGCCCACGCATGGCTGAACCTCCAAGCCCTGCCTGCAAGCACAGCTGGTGAATGGGCACAACTGGGGGCTGGGGATGAGTGTCACTGTGTCCCCGAGCTCTGGGCAGGCTCTGTCCCTGCTGGGCTCTCTGTCTTGCCAGCCCCAGCCTGCAGCTGGTGGATGTGCCCGTCCAGCAGTGCTGTGAGGTGTGCGGCTCCGTGCTGCAGCATGGAACACGTCTGGGAGGGCAGGAGTGCCAGGGCGCCCAGCGTCTGCCCCTGCGAGGCCTCCAGTGAGGGCAGCTTGGCAAAGTTCTCCACTCCCTGCCTGCTCAGGATGGTGTCGTCAATGCAGGCACCTGAAAGAGAAGCAGGCACAGCTGAGGGGCAGCAGCGTGCTGCGAGGACTGAAGTGTTTGTGCTGGAGCTCCTGGCATTGAAAGCTGCCAAGATGGGGACAGGAGACAGCTGCAACCCCACAAGCAGCTGCTCTGCCCCCATCTCCTCCTCACGCCTGGGGAACCACTTCAAAGAATGACAGAATATCCCGAGGTTTAAGGGACCCATAAGGATCCACACAGGACCACCCAAAGATCACATGGCTAAGAATGCCATCCAGATGCTTCCTGAACTCGGTACCATGATCTGGGCAGCTTGGTCCATGCCCACAACCCTCTGGTGAAGAACCTGTTCCTGATATCCAACCTCTCCTCCCCCAGCTGCATCATGCAGGAGCCCCGGGCTCTCACCCAGCAGGTTGATCTGCGGCACTCCCTTCAGGATCCGCAGCATCTCCTTGGCCTTCGTTTCTGGGCTCACCAGAAGGATATTGCGGGACACAAAGAGCGGGAGGAGGTTCTTATAGCGAGACTTGGACAGCACGGGGCGGACGATCTGTGGGAGGCAGCACTCAGTGGTGGGGAAGGAGGCCTGGCGGCTGCAGCAGGGAGAGCCCTGCAGCTTCCCCAGCCCCCTACCTCGTTCAGGACGAATTTGACCTCAATATTGTGCTTCCGCAGGTAGTGCCTCATCAGCACCATGTCCTCCCCGGGCATGTAGTTGTATTGACACACCGCGACCATCCGGTTGTCCCGGAACACCTCCTCCACCTGCCGCCGGAGCAGCCGGGCGTAGCCGTACTCCTGCAGGGAGGAAGCAGCCACGGGAGCGCCACGGCCCGGCACCTGGGGGACACCGCTGGGCCTGCACGGGGCCTACAGTGTGCAGCCCGCAGCTCCTGGGGCGGCCCAGCGTTACCTCCTCCTCCTCCTCCTTCTCCGCCTTCCTCTTAGCAGGCAGGCAGCGCTCGGGGACGGCGGGCCTCGGCGCGATGTACTCGGTGACGGCCATCAGCTTCTGGCGCTGGAAGTGCATGGCCTTCCAGTGCCGGGTGACCGCCTTAGAGGCGCGCCGGACGAGCTGCAGGGCGGGCAGCCAGCCTGCGGGGACAGAGAAGCGCTCAGGAGGAGCAGGGAGGGAGCCGGGCCGCAGAAAGGAGCGCCGTGCCCGCCCGGGCCCCGCACTCACCCCGCCGCCACGGCGCAGGGCCGCTCAGCGCCGCCATCTTTGCCGCGGATGCGCGGAGCCTTGTGGGGAGGCGGGGCATCGGTTGCGCGCATGCGCCGGGGTGCTGTAAAGGCCCGCCCCTTCCGGTGCGCTCCTTCCGGCGCGTCCCGTCTCTTAGCAACCGGCGCGCTGCGGCCTGCTCGTGGGTCGCGGTGTTCTGGGCTGCGCCTGCTGCCCACCCGGCCCGGCGCATCCCTGGCCCTCCTGTTTCCGCCTGATCCCGCTCCCCGTTTATTCCCCTCCCATTTCTGCCTCTCTCTTTCTACCTGGTGCCTTTTCCCCTCACGGAGGCGACATGTCTGCCCCAGCCCTCCCGCGCATCCCCCTATCCGCACAGCACAAGGACACGACGAGGGGACAGAGATCCTGCTCGCCAGCACCCACCGTGGCTGGGGAGGAGGAGGCTCTGCCTGGGGGTGAGTGTGCCGTCACAGAGCCTGCTGACTGGGATGCAGGGGATTGAAGCCGCTGCTGAGCCTGATTTCCTCTAGGCTGTGAGCAGATGTCCCTGGGGGTGACCCTCACTGACCGCCTTATGGCTGCACGGAGCTTTCCTGGGCTGGGGGAGACCGTGAGACCAGAGAGCTGGTGAGAAACCATGGGGAGACCAGCAGGTGGGGGGTGGGCACAACAGCCTCCCTCAGAACAATCCTTTCACCAGCTCCGAGGAGCTGCCAGCCCTCCAGACCATCCGCTTGGACCGGGAGGATATCTGCACCATTGGGAGGCTGGGGAGTCTGCCGGGGATTCACAGCCTCTACCTGCAGCGGGTAAGATAGCAGGCAGAGCCTGGTCCTATGGGGAACAGCCTCCTTTGGGGCCAGCATAAACACCCCCAGTTCTGCCCCCAGCACTGCCAGAGAGACCTACGGTTCTCCCTTCCTATGACATAATTTGAGTGAGGTTCTGGCTTTTCTAAACCCAACTGAGGAGCCTTAGTTCTACTGGGCTCCCATGCAGCCCCCACGCCCTCTCCATAAAGCTCCTAGAGGAGATGGTGAACGCTGTTGTTGCACATGAGATTGGAATGATTCTGGAGTGCTCCTGAACTCTGATTTTCCATGCAGTAGAAAATCATGTTTTGGTGTTGTGTTGTAGTTTTTTGTTTTGTTTTGTTTTGTTTTTCCCCAGAACCGAATTGAGAAAATCGAGAACCTGGACTGCTTTCCCAACCTGCAGTGAGTGCCACTAAGGGGATGCATGTGATCAAGGGAGCATTCAAGTTACAGGATGACTTTGCAGTGGTTTGTCACAAGGGTTTGCCATCCTCAGAGCAGCAGTGCTGCACGGCTGTCACCCTGGGGACCACAGTGTCCCATCTCCAGAGGGGGGTCACAGCTCCTGCTTCTGCCCTCCCTGTGCTCCCCAGGTTCCTCTCACTGGCTGGAAACTGCATCCGCAAGGTGGAGAACCTACGGCCCCTGCAACACCTGCGCTTCCTGGACCTGTCCCAGAACCAGATCCAGACTCTGGATGCAGGTGGGGTGGCACCAGCAGAGCCTTGGCCCTGTCCCTGTGCTCTGCAGCACTTGGGTCCCAGCAGAACTGCAGCACAGCCATCCTGGGGCTGGGATGTGTGTCTCAGCAGGGCACTGGGAGCCCCACAGGTGGCTTTGAGTGAGCCTTTCCCCTAGCAAACTCCAGGTGTCTGCTTCCACCTTGTGTTCTGCTTCAGCAGAACATGGAAAGCAGCTCCTGGCAGCCTCAGGAATCTCAACCTGAACTGCTCCAGACCTCTTCGACCCAGAAGGTGTTTCCTGCCCCTACAAGGCAGAGATGGTGCAGATAGGCTCACACTGCCTCAGCCTTCTGGGAGGATCCTCTCCTGGATGTTTTTTGGCACAAAGAGAAGGGATGGAGAGGTATTTTCCTTCTGCTCTTCTGCAGTGTTTCTAGTGTGCTATCTTCTGTTTGCAGACAGATGTGAGAAAGGCAACAGTGACAGTCTGGGAAAGGGAGAAGGCCTCTTTTCTCACTATCAGATTGTATGGAATACGTGTCCCCTCCCTCCCTGCCTCAGTTTCCCCAGCTTTGAGATGAGAGGCAGCTTCCCACGGCAGGGCTGTGGCCTCAGGAATGCGTGTGAAGCACTCCAGGACGCAGCAGCAGCACGCAGGGTTTGCTGCACACACAGCTCCACGGAGCAGGTGGGGCTCAGCCCCCTTCTCAGTCTCTTTTTTCCTTCCTTTGATGTGTGCAGATGAGCTGCCCCACAGCCTCCGCCTCCTGGACTTGACAGGAAATGAATGCACCCACCAACCCGGCTACAGGTGGGTTGGGGAAGCCCCAACGGTGAGCAGGGGGGGGGGGGAGAGCGAGCCCCCCAAACCCTGTGAGCTCAAATGTTGTGTTCAACACCTCCCCCAGACCCAGGAAATCTGAGCCTGCATCTGCCCAGGTGGGGCAGGGGGGGCTGTGCTGCTTCTCCCAGCACGATGCTGTGCGGTGGGGGAATGTCTGCTGTTTGCTTGCTGCTTGCAGGGAGCTGGTGGTGGCAGCCCTGCCCCATCTCCTGCAGTTGGACGCCCAGCCCCTCCATGGCTGCGTGGATCCTGTCCCAGATGAGAAAGAGGAGGAGAAACATTGCTCCAGCAGCGAGGATAGCGACGATGAGTTGTTCTCTGAGCTGGGTGCCCCGTTCACCACAGGCAAAGGTGCCCAGACTGAAGCAAGACACACTGCATGCTTGGGGGTCTCTGTGTCCCCATGGGTGACACACAAACACCAAGGAGCTCAGCTGGCTGTGACGAGCTCTCTTCTCATTCCTCTCTCCCTCCTTCCCACCATCCCTGGCAGATTTCTTCACAGACCTGCAGCAGGAGCTGGCTGGGCGCTCTCGGAGGAGGCAGGGGGAGGCCCTGGAGGAACACCAGGCCCGTCTGCGGGAGCTGCAGGAGCACAGGGCTCTGCTGCTGCCCCCCTTACCGCTGTGCTCACTGGGCACAGAGAGCTGCCTGCCCCCCAGCCCAGGAACCAGCACAGCCCCTGGCCCTGGGCAGTTTCAGCTCCATCCCCAGGCAAAGCCTGGACAAAGCCAGAAGCCAAAACCAGCTGCCATCCTACGCCAGCCCTGGCCCACAGCCCTGCAAGGGGAGCCTTGTACCAAAGGGGCAGGGAAATAGGCAGCACCTCAGGTATGTGGCACCAGCACAGTGCTGCGCAGTTGGAATTAAAGCCTCTTTATTCTTACGTCGATCTCTGTCTGCTGCAGAGCCCTGCAGCCAGCAGCTGGGTCCTCTGCTGAGGGACTGAACGTGAGCAGCTCTGCTAATGGTGGGAGCAACGTGCCAAGCTGAGAAAGGGAACCCTACCCCCCCTTCCGTGCACCCCCCTTTCACACCACAAGCACTGATTGATGCTGGAGGTGCTGGTGGAGCCATTCCCCTCCACAGCTCCAAAACGAGAGGAGGCGAGGAACCAGGACGGGGCACCAGGAAGGATTTCTCACCCCCAGGTGGGAACAATGCTGTGGGGTCTGAGCTGGAGCCCGACCTCAGCTCCTCTCCTCTCCTAACCCACCTGCGTGGGGTTTATTTGTAAAACTTCATCTCTGCATCCACGCAGTCGAAGAAGAGCTCAGCCAGCTCCTCCGGCCTTGGCGCCACGTTCCCTGCCAGCAGCCCATTCACTGCCTCCAAGCCCTGCTTCTCCAGGTCCCGCAGCGTCTGCAGGAGCTCCCGGCCCCGTTCCTGGTGGGATTGGGGGCAAAATAAAGCTGAGGATGGGCGCCATCAGGACATCCCACCGCCTCCCACGTTGCCATGGGACAGAACGAGGGCCATCGGGAAGGGCTCGCTGCTACCTGGTCCTTCTCCATCAGCTCCAGCGCTGCCTGGTGCCGGCGGTAAAGCTCGTGCCTCCGATCGACGGCGCTCTGGAAGCGTGGCACCTTCTTGGCAGGGTCGTCACGGAAGGTGGGAGAAATCACCTGCGGTGCAGGTTTAAGGCCAGGTACGAAGATGAAGGGTTTGAAGACGGACCTGGTGGAAAGCAGCAGGGACGCTCAGCCCAGGGCACGGCTCTGTCTCGTGTTCATCATCCTGGAGTCCTCACCTGGAAGGGTCCGGAGTGGCTGTGAAGAAATGGACGCAGGGCAAGGCAGGGTCCTGGGGCAGCACGGACACCATGCTGCCCGCCGTGCGGAAACCTTCCGAGTCCACGCAGATGCCGCTGTCCTTGTCCCTCAGGATGGCCATGAACGTCTCTGCTGTGATGCGTCCTGGTAGGCAAAGCAGATCCACATCGCTGCTGGCTGCCACGGTGCAAGCTGGGGGCTGCTCTTCCCATCCCCGTCCTCACCTACGTGCTGCTGCAGCAGCTCCTTGCCAGCACGATAGCGGGTTTTGGCAGCCTCCATGCGTGGTGGCTGCTGTGCCAGGGAGAAGACCTCAGCAAAGCTGAACTGGCCAGCCCCGCTCCACCAGCCCTGGCTCTGGGCTCGCTGCCGCAGCCCCGGATGCTCAGCTGTGATGTCCGTCCCGATGCTGAGCTGGTTGGAGATATTGCGGCTGCCCTCTGTGGAGCTCAGGGTACATCAGGTGTGGGGCAGACCCCGGGGGATGGGGCTCCCCAAATTAACCCTGCCTGAAGCTGAGTGTGCGCTCACAGGCTCCCACCACCGCCGATGCCTGCTCACCTCGGATCCGCTGCGCTGCCCAATAGCTGCCGGCCGTCTCCAGCACCCAGGCCTCGTGGCGGTCAGCCAGCAGGAAGGTGTTGTGGTACACAAAGGGTGTGGGCTCCTCCTTGCAGCTCCCACCCTGCCCGTGCTGCTCCAGCAGGGCCGTGATGACATCCAATGCTTCCCGGGCAGAGCCGCCCCTCTCCAAGCCCAGCCTGCAGCACAGCGGCACCCCATGGGCCACGTGCACCCCAGGGGAACTGCGGGGTGATGAGGGGATGCTCCTCACCTCACCAGGTCCATACCCAGCAGCGCCTCATCCTCCCCAACAGGCTCACGGGTCCATACGCCCTCGTTGCCCACGCAGACACCGTGCTCGTTGGCACCCATCTCGGCACCCCACAGCCAGGCAGGACGGCTCAGCACCACCGCGTGGG